CTTCGTTCTTACGGTTTCTTACACTCAACTTAACATGAATGTTTCAGATTTTAGGAGCTCCACAGCCCGAAAACTGTGGTGAAAACTTGCACCATAACCACAAACTATGATTCACTTTATATGGACAAGCAAATACCAAGTGAGTGATACATTTTGTGCTCAAAACTTTTCAATTCAATCTGTGAGTAGTACAGAACAATTAGACTAGATGCCCTTGGATGTACTTGTATACTTATAACAAAAATTTTGTTGACTTGGAATACACTTGCCCGGAATCAACCAATAACGATCAATATATCGAAGCTCGACATCGAATTTCTTCACCTAGAAGAATACTGTGAAATTATTAAGCTCTTAGCAGAAACATTAGATTTGTTGCAAACTGAGACCAATATATTTTATGCTTCTCTTTTACCTAGCATAATTTCCCTCCATAATAAATTAAAGGCAGAAAGATTACAATGTGGTGAAAATATACTGTTGAATACTGCAATTGAAGGTATAGACAAAAGATTTGAAAAACTACTAACGTTACTAGATAACTATATAGGTGCAATTTCTCATCCAGAATTTAAGCTACGTTAGTTTCCAATAGTAGAGACAACAACTGCATTAGGTAAAGAAGATTTAAAGCAGTTTTAATAGCAGAATGTGAACTACATCATCAAGATTTAGAAACGATTTCCAGTCCTACACAAGTAACCAAAGATATTGTAAACGAAGATGTAACATCTGTTGAAAACATGCTAGATAGTTATGCATTAGTAAAAAAGTGTTTTTTAAATATAACATATTCCCTCTTCTAAAACTGTAGTGAGATTATTTTCCTTTGCCACAATAGTCAACACTCCGAGAAGGAATGCACTCTCTGATAGTAATTTTGAAAAACTGGTTATAACGAAAAGTAATATACTACCTATAATAATAATAGTATTGTGAATCGTTCGCTCGATGATAAGTAACAAATATTAATAGTTTACTTTTACGCCAATTTTAAGAAATGTCTGATGATGATGTTTTCAAGATAGCCGCCACTTCCGGTCCACCGGAAGTAGAAAATAACTTAGTTATTTGAAATGGAATGCTATAGTTTTTGTTACGCCGTTTAATTGTACGTAAAAAGATAGGTTGACTTTGATAAACGTTATTGTTACCTAGCGTTTTTTGTTTTTGAGTTATTTTGGTTTGAAGCTTTTTTTTGGCAAATTTCAATATGCTCGTTAAAACCCCATATCTCAGTCTACGTTCATTCAAAAGAGCTCTAAATTTGCACAATTACTCTTCAGATGCTGTCAAATAGATTTGTTGTAACTGAGTATCTTATACAGGTGGTCAAAAATTGAGTTACTGTTTCTCCATATTCAATAGCGACAAAGTAGAAAATGTTAAATGGAACGCCCCATATTATTTTAGCCTATTGGAAAGGTAATTTAATTCTCTACAAATTATTTATAAACATTCCTCTACCTATTTATTGTAGTTTCTCTCATATTCGGAAGTTTATCAAAACATGCACGAAATGTAGGTTTTTTTATTAGAAAGCTATGGAATTGTGACAGTTTTTGGTCTATGTTTGTAATATTCTTGTCATTAGTTACACTTGACGACGGGTGTAAGTAATTGACATCAGGGCAGATTATTCCAACGCCGATATTTGAAATGTATTTTGTATTGATGGCGAATGTAATAAACTTTTGGACAGGACACAGTGTTAGGAAGTTATAAATATCTGGCCAAAAATCTAATTACAACTAAATGAAGTTGAAAATGTTTAATACCATTATAATATCTCCTTAATGGTTAGCTAGGATTTATTTCATCTATAAACAGTGCTTAAAACAAAATTTAGGATTTTGAAACGAATATTTGAAAATTAAAGCGAAAGGAAGGTTTTGTTGTGGGTTGGATGTTTAAGCTAATGTAACTCCGAAAACATGGGACATTTATTTCATGTACCCTAACAATAAGTAATATATACTTATATACTATAATATATACAGGGTGTCTCACGTAACTGGATTGTTAAAACTTTTTAAGGTTGCACTATTCATAGAGGTTTGAAATTTTGGTAGCATGGGTTGTTCGTTCGGAACTTTCGATCTAAAATATTTTCAAGATAGCTGCCACTTCCGGTCTACCGGAAGTAGACCATAACCTCGTTATTTTAAATGGAATGCTGCAGTTTTTACTACACCTTTTAATTGTTTTTTTTATAGTCAACATATTTTTTTATGTACAATTAAAAACTATAATAAAAACTCTAGCATTCCATTTAAAATAACGAAGTTATGGTCTACTTCCGGTAGACCAGAAGTGGCAGCGATCTCGAAAATATTTTAGATCGAAAGTTCCGAATGAACAACCCATGCTACCAGAATTTCAAAACTATACAAATAGTGGACCCTAAAAAAGTTCTAACGAACCAATTACGTGGGACACCTGTATACATAAAGTATGAAATCAATTCAATAAAAATTTGAGGGTTATTATTCTAGAAAAAATTCTTGAATATCTATGTTATATTTTTTAACGCGCATTTTTTGAGATACCATATATTCACATTTTAAAATAGGAACCCTCATTTTTTTGTTGCATTTATGGATTCTACGTAACTTCTGAGTATTTTTCACGTGTCTTCGAAAAAATAGCAGTTAAAAAATACTGTTACTATTTTATTACTTTTCTATTTATTTTTATTTCAATAATAGAGTAAAAAGCTATCCTCTGTTTCTGTGTTAATTTGTGACAAATCTTTAATAATGTAATGATAACCATAAATTATGTTTTAACCCATAAGCAGATTTAGTATTTTAACATACTGTTTTAAAATTTTCTTTATACCTATATTTATTTTTCTTCGTCCTCACTGTGTTTTACAATTTCAATATTAGCTGCAATTAACGATAAAAAATTATTTCTTTCTTCATCATTTTCAAAACAGGGAAGGCTTATAAGTTTTTCAGAAAAATCTGTATTATTCCTTGATTTCTTGCTATGAAATGTTATAATTGGGTCGTAATAGTCTGTTTAAAATGTCTCTATTATTGTGTATTCTTGACATTTTTCTGGAAAAGTTCTCTCTATACCTTCTAACGTCTTTATTCCGAGTTTCTTGCGCATCTTCTGAAAACAGGCCAATCTGGATACTTAATGATTTTTTTGGGTACGGAAAGTATAGGCTTAACACTACATAAAAAAATTAATTTCAACCTGAGATGTTGTGGGACTTGTTTTGCAGCTTAAAGTTTAACATTGCAAATAAAATTTGTTTATGAACAGTGTTGAGGAAAAGATAAATAAATCCAGCATTCAAGAAGTATACAGTATAACATACAGTATAAAATTATAGTGAAATTTCATAAGGGTACAACTTTTAATATGTTTGCAATCGTTTCTCAATATTAATCAATGTTTTTGGATATATATAAATTTGGAAATATTCGAAATATAGATATGTAAAATAAGTGTTAACTTTACATGTCATTTTTATTCAGAATTGCAGTTAATAAAAAGTGGTTATTGCGGAGTAGCGAGTATTACGATATAACCTAACGATCCCCATTTGCCAAAATATTAAAAAAGAAAATTAGTAAAATCATGTTATGGCCGGTAATTTCAAACTTGTTAACACTGTAGGACGTGTCGCACACTTAATGAGAGATGCCCAACAAACCTAATGCCCATCACAAGGAAAAATTTCAAAAAATTGATAAAGAATTTCTTAGTTCTGGATATATCGAGACCAAAAGAAATCGCATATTTCCAGTCACCAGTGATGAAGACAACGAAATAAATAATTTAATGTATTTTATTGCATTTCCAAATTCAACCGAATAACAAATTTATATTATAAATTTATATGTTTATTTATAGTTTCATTTATTTGATCTTTTGTTTGTTATTTTTGGTAAGTAAAAGCTAGTAAACTAAAAGATTATCAATCGTAGTTAATAGTACAAATAATAATAGAAATAAATTAAACAAAAAACTGTCAAAATGTCATGGCCTTCTAATAAAAATGCAAACGGTTTCCTGCATTTTCTGCATGTTTTGATAAATTTACGAACATGAGAGAAACTACAATAAATAAGTATAGGAATGTTTATAGATAAATTGTAGAGAATTAAATTCCCTTTCGGGTAGGCTAATAAAATATGGGGCGTTCCATTTAAAATTTTCGACTTTCTTGCGGTTGAATATGAAGAAACGGTAATTCAATTTTTGGCCCCTGTATAAGATACTCCGATACAACAAATGACAATCTATTTGACAGCATCTGAAGAGTAATCGTGCCAAGGTAGATCTTTTTTGAATGAACGTTGGCTGAGATATGGGGTATTAAAGAGCATGTTGAAATTTCCCAGCTTAAAACCAAAATAACTCGAAAACGAAAAACGGTAGGTACCAATAACTTTTATCAAAGTCAACCTATTTTTGTACGTACAATTAAACGGTGTAATAAAAACTATAGCATTCCATTTAAAATAACGAAGTTATGGTCTACTTCCGGTAGACCGGAAGTGGCGGCCATTTTGAAAATATTTTAGATCGAAAGTTCCGAATGAACAACTCATGTTACCAAAATTTCAAATCTCTACGAATAGTGGAACCTGAAAAAGTTCTAACGAACCAGTTACATGAGACACCTGTATATTAAAAATTTTAATCAACAGGTATCTAGTAAAATCATATGTGATATATTTTACTGGGATTTAATTCATTTAGGTTGGACTTTTTATTTTTTTTTTTAATTTAAACGCTCCTGAATTCTGTCATAAGTAATTTTTTATCAAAAAAGTAATGAAGAAAAATTAATTAATAATTCCATTTTCTTTGTACTTGTCATTAAGTGCCTATAATTCCTTTTTTTAAGATATGTAGTTCGTAAATGTAATTAGTAATTAGTTCCTCTGTTGAAACAGTATTTTGTAATTGTTAATATTATTTTTAAAGTTCATGTAATTACTCTTTTCTGGTTATAAGCATTATGCATCATATTTATACGAATAATATATTTTAAATTATTTATAACAAATATTACTGTAACTTTAATAGTTTCTATGGGAAGTAATTCTTAAACTGATTAAATTTGATTTTAAATTTAAACTATATTTCGTAAATGTTCTAATTTTGGGCAATATTCCCCGTGATTCCCCTAATGATCTGGAAAATCGAAGCGCTTTTAACTAATAATAATAACAATAATAATAATTTATTGCATAACCATTGAGCTATCTAAAGAATCATTCATTGGAGGGCCACTATTATAAATTTCTTCTTCTGTATCATCAAGCATAGCTTTCATTCTCTTTTTATATCTAAAAATAACTTCATTAGTTTAAAAAAATTAACAAAATAAATAACCAACATATCACTATCAGGATTATTCTCAGGATTCCTGCACTTCTCCAATTTTTTATCCAACATTTTCTGCTGATTTTTATCTGGAATAGAATCAGCCATTTTCACCATAGATCTTATACTTCGAACAGCTTCAATTAACTCCTCCAATTTTCCTCGACCTTCAATACCAAATAATGTATCAGTAACATAAGAATCTAAATTTTCTTGTAATTTTGACGCAGCATGTAGAACAGCTGCTAAAGCAACTTGACTTGGGGCATAAATTAAAACAGCATCTGTTAAAAAGGCTCTATCTAAGAAATGCTCAATACCAGGTCGTAATCTTTCAGGATCATTTAATGCACATCTTGTCTACAAAAAAAAATTAGTTTAAAATCATCTTTAAAATAAAAACAATTTTAATAATAACACCTTTATATCAATTAATAACCCTTCAACAGGACGAAAAGGGTTATGAATCGCTAAATGAAAATTTAACTGCTCCATTAATAAAAGTTCGTTGTTTAAGATTATATCAGTAGCTTTCTCACGATCCCCTTTAATATTAGCTACAAATTGCATTATTGAAACATTAAATTCTTCTACTTTTGATGCTAAATATATACAAGTTACCCTGTTAATAAAAGAAATTTTAATAATTATTATTTTAAATAAATAAAATGACTTACATTATTTCTTTTGGATGATAATTCATAACAGAATTATAAATATAAAACCTCTTAAAATAATGAAAAGCGGTTCCAATGACACATCGAGGCATTGGAGGATGAAATCGTTTACAAAAATCTCTTAAATGATTCTCAAATCTTCGCACCAATAATTTCTCTTCGTCTGGTGTTAGAAATACTTCATATTTAGCTGAATCCTAAATAAATTTAAAGAAATTAAACGAATACATCGAAGAAAATTTATACTTACAGGGACATTTTTCCCATATTTTTTTATGTGCTTCAAATTAGTGCTTTCTCTTAACTTATTTATATCCTCTTCATTACTAAACATCCAATTTTTACATTGAGTACTTGTTGGAAACATTTTTATAGAGTTTTTTTTAACCTAAGAATACGTTAGAGAATGTGAGGTTATGTTGATTTTGAAAGCTTAATTTTAAAGATATTGCGACATCTAGAGGTGAAAATCTAAAAGTGTAACTTGGTTGAGTTATTAAAAGATGGCGATAGTGATACAGATTTTAATTTAAGAATTAATTTAATGCATTAATATCTAATTTATACGTATAAATTAATAATAATTTTAATAAATACAATAAATAAAAAAAAAATTATTTTAATATTGTTGATGTGATTAGAAAATAATTTTTAAAGGATGTCGTTAGGTTAGAATCCAAAAGATGGCGGGAGGATGTAGATATTTTATTTTATACAGTGTGGGCCAAAATTATGGAAAAAATTCAATAAAATATTTATAAACATATAATAATACAATATTTTACAAAAACGGCGAAAAAAACAAACATTTTGAGCCCATATTCACTTCCCGATATTTATTTGAAATCGTTTTATGGATTGTAAAAGAAAGTTATTAAAAGTTGTGTAAATATAATTAAATCTTAAAATAGAACATTTATTTTATGCAAACAAAAGGATTACTATTTCACAATTAAATTCTTTCTTCTTGAATAGAATTCCATTCAAATAACTTCACGAATAAACAATTTATATTTCTTTCAATGGAATAATAATAAACCGCCAAGGACTTGCAATAGTAAATTTAAATAACAGGATGTGGTTTAAAGATATAGTATAAATTTATAAAGGATTGATTTGGGAATGAAGGGTCCAATTGGATCAGCTTATTATTAATATTTTGAAAAAATTTTCATTGTGATGAAATGTTTCTCCTCTTACTAGAATTCTAGATGGTTTTGTAAGTATAAATAATGCATTTTTAGCACACTACATAGTGTACATTGTATATGAGGAATAAGCTCATGTTCTACTCATTAAAATATGAACTGTTTTTATGTAACCTGATACTTGTCTTTATTTATTTCTTTTATCATGATCTACCTTTCTTATGATTTGTTTCAAAAAAAATCTTTATGACAAATTGTTGACCAACATTTTCAGTTCATAGGCAGATATTACACTAGTATTCAATTGGCAGAAGAATTGATGAAAATGAAACAATAAAAAACAAATTGAATGGAAATACCAAATTCAATAAAGAAGTCAAAATTTTTCGAACATAAATTGGTTGTTTATAAAAGATGTTCCAACGATGTTATTGTCTTGACAATGCTATTAAGCATTAATGACACTGCTGGATTTGTTAAAAAAAGAAGATTTGGAGAACAGGAGAGCAGCAAAATGTACAAACACGAACAGTTATTGTAAATTACATTAATTCAATGGGCGGTGTTGATCGAGCTGATCAAAAATCCATGATCTCATTTGAAATACGTGAAGCAATTGGTTAACTAACTGGTAGGTGATTTCCGAGTCAAGCAATCAAGGATTCTTTTGGAAAGGATTGACAAAAATATTTATTGCAATATTATTATAATATTTATTTCCAATATACTGTAATTAATGGTTTAACATGAACGTTAACATACCTACATACATACCTAGAATTCTGGTTGTCACCGGCTGGGATTTTCACATCGATGTCGTGCTGCTTGTTTACCTATACCACATCTACCAGGAATCCCCGACCATAAAATAACACTACCCAACTAGTATCTACATGTTGGTCAAGATTTTTAGATAGTGATGGTGAAAGCTAAATCTTTTTTCGATTTACAATATTTGCACAAATATCAATATTCACACAAACTCGTGTAATAAATAAAAGGAAATTATAGGTGTGCACTATAATGTTTCTGTTCTTCCAGAACAAGTTAATATACATATTTTTAAAGTTGCTACATCACACTAGTCGCGAAAAAGATGTTGGTTGTAGATGGTTGCTGTAGATATAAGATAATTAAGTTATAACTTTGTTTACTTAATTTGAATAGATTACCTTGAAAAAGAAATTAAATGAAATCTTGAAACTTGGGTATAACAGCAAGGACATTTTTAATGAACGTGAAATTTCTGTTTTGCTAAGAATTTTTTCAGTTGTTGTAAGAAAATATTAAAAATCTTGTAATAAGTACAGATTAAAAGAACAGATGTGTTAACATTTGCGATAGCCAAACAAATAATTGGGCAATGGATCTAGAAATATCTTCAGTAATTGTGGAACAGTTTTTTTGCAAGGATTTGTAAAGAGGTTTATTACCATGTTTACTAAGTAAAAACTTTATAACAGAGACAAAGAACAAATTCAAATATATGACCAAAATAGCTATGATTTATATTAGTTGGAATCCCATTCAGGAAAAACTTTAAGCGATTTAGGCGTTAAAATTGTAAAAAGTGTGGTTCAGTTAGTGTCATCAACAATGGCAAATTTCTTTCCTCACTTTTAATTATGTTAAAAGAAACCTCTGGAATGCAAATACGATGTTATATCTTAAAAAAATTATTTTGATGTTTGTGAAAGTGTTTAAAAGATACCAGGGAATAGAATGTGTCAAAATTGTACTAATCTAGTGGATATATATCCTTATTTAACAAAAGCAAAACAATTTTAGAACATTTAAGGAGGTCTATTTCAGAATTTGGCATATATTACTTGATCGTGGTGGTCGAATAAAATAAAGAAATGTGGTAAAGAAAATCAAAAGTTCTTTTTCAAGCTGTTAAAATCTTGCAGAAAATCTAGAATACCTACGAGATTAAAGGGGGGAAAAATATCAATGGATTAATATGAAGAGGGGACCAGGAAATAATGGCAAGATGGAAAAAACACTTTATGGAATGTTATTATGTAAATGGATAAGAAGATAAGAAATATGTACAACAAGAAAGTGAAGAGACAGAAACGAATGAACAGATACCTATGAAGGAGTTGGAAATAGTAATAATGAAATTAAAGAATGGAAAAGTGAAGATACATTAAACAAAGAAATGATAAAATACATGGGTTCGCAGAGAAGAGTGATGCTACATATACTAAAACAAGCAGGGCAAGAAGAAACTTTTCGCAAAAGATAAAAAAAACCTTACCAATTATAGTAGTGGTTATAGTAAAAGGTTTAGAACAGATAATAGATAGAAAAATAAAATTCATTACAGAACAGAGACTGGATGAAACATAAAGTGGTTCTAGAAAGGCAAAGGTATTCACAATTGTATTAATAATAGAAAAAAATCTACAATAAATGGAACGGATTTGAATAAAATGAAACTGATTGGTGTTAATGAAAACGAGACAAAGGAGAAGGTATATAGAACGGTGGAAGGAATATATCCAGAAATTGTTTGAAAATGAGAGACAACAGTAACCACTTCAGGAAAGTATCGTCAGCGATCAAGGACCAAAGATAACGAAGATAATCCCTGCGATAAAATCAGCGAAGAATAATAAAAGTTTCAAGCCCGAGACGTCTTTAGAGCTGCAGTATCAAATGTAAAAATTGCCAAGATGATAGCCAACCTTTTTAAAGGAGACGGCACATAAAGAAGAAGAATCAAAATGATTGTAATCTCCTGAAAACACTAGTACACTTAATCAAACAAATAGTATGAAAAAGCTATTTTGATGTTTTTTCAAAGATACAATCAAATAAAGAAAGCTTGTTGTTGAAGTGTTCAAAATGGTGTCTCTAGCATATCAGATATATCGCCAGGATGTTTAACAAAAAGAAAACAATTTCAAAACTTTAAATTATTATAGAAATATCATATTATACTGATTGGTGTCAAACAAAACAAGGTTTTGAAGGTGTCAGAAAATAAAAAATATTGGTTGAATGTCAAAATAATTTGAATCTATTGAAGTGCTTCTTCTTAAGCTCTAGTCTTGTATTACCCATTCATTGTTGCATCTTTGAATGAGGATGTCTTCATCAAAATACTCCCTCCATCGTTTAGGGGATCGTCCTGGCGGTCACCTTGATATTAACTTGCCATTCTTCAATATGTTGTTATCCATGCTGGATACATGCTCTTTCCAAACTTTCTTTCTCGCCAGCACCAATCGTAATACATCTATGGTACCACACTTACATCGAAAATCGCTGCTTTTACCATGATTATGCGTTATGACGACTTTCACCTCTTCTGTACGGTACGCTCGTTTTGTTTCCAACTTCTTCCCACCACACAAATCATCAAAGGCCTGTTTTAGTCCATATACACTTGTATACACATATTGCTTGCCTTAGTATACCAGTGATTTTTGCCTTGTTGTTTTATAACGTTGCTTAGATTCTCGTAGGCTTTGCATATTTAATTCTTCAGCTACAATGTTGAATACTTCTGTTGACCACTACAAGCCATCATCAGTATCAGCGAGTTAGATAGATATCTTAAGATTAATGCAGAGAAAATCAAAATTATGTTCGTCGATTGTTCTGATTTTCTACATCTGATGGATGCCCTAGATAGAATTCAAATTGTAGACCAGATCATGCACCTAGGCTCATATATTGATAACACACGTCAAGTTTGAGCAACATCCGAAAAAGAATAGGATCTAATATTTTGAAAGACCGCTCTATTACAAATTACATTAAAATTGGGCTAGTTCAATCACTGATCTTCTCCATCTTCTGATATGGGTAAATTGAGACAATTAAAGCAGCGGACAGAAAGAGAATTGATGCGTTTGAAATGTGGTATTGGAGGCGCATGCTTCTAATTCCGTGGACAGCACATAGATCGAACGAAACGATCGTCACAGAATTGAATGTCCAGAATAAATCGTCTTATATTTGTCTTGCGTGGAAACGTAGAGGGACGAAGATACAAAGGACGCTCACCGGCACTTCGTTGTGTTTTAATTTTAATTATTGTTGTCTTACAAGTGTTAAGTTATTTCATTATCTTAAAGATGTTGAGATGTAGGTTAACGTGTTGTAATTCTTTTATCACATCTGCCATCTGTACTCTCTTGAATTCTTTGGGCAGATTAACGAAATAGAAGAAAAATGGCATCAACAATAGAGCGATTTTTCCTAAAATCTTGTTGTTCTTCACTTATTTATATTTTATTAGTGATATGTTCACTCAAGAGTCGGG